AGGAAGGCAGCAACGCGAAGGCGGCAGGCACACCCAGAGCAGACGCAGAAACAGCAGAAGGGGCAGCGGCGAAGGCCAGCCGCAGTGCCGCCGAGAAGGTCAGGCCAGGGAGGAGAGGCAGGAGGGCTTCCCTGTGCCGAGGAACCGCAGGGCCATGAGCCACAGACCTCATGGGGCCTCTGTGGGGAGGAGGATGGCCCTCTGGGACGGCAGGCAATGAATGCGCCGCAGGTAAGGCCAGCGTCCCCTTTCGAGACCCTGAGACAATCCTAGATTGGGAAGTGTCCCAAGAGCCACCCAATCCAAGCCCACTCCCCTCATGCAGGAACATGCAGTGCAAGCCTCCTGGCAGACACTGGGTTCCCGGGCAGTTTAGGGAGCCCCATGGGCCATCCAGTCCAGCCCCATTCGGCCAGACAGGAAGACTTCCCAACAGATGGCCATCCCACCTCCAGAGAAGGAGACTCTATTGGACTCTGAGGGAGCTGTGGATTCTACATTTGAGTAACTCTGACTTGAGGAAGTTCTTCCTAATGTTTAGGTGGAGCTTCTCTGTTCTAAAGCGGGAGGGGACAAGGGCTGGTGCCTCGGGTGTAGTTGCTTGCAAACAGCCCTTGAGCAACCTCTACTTGAATGAGGTTTTGGCAAAGACCGGGGCTGAGGTATGCCTCCTTCCCCCAGGAGGGCCACATTGGCATGGATGATGTGTGTAATTACCCCCTTTGTAAGTCATCAGAAGAATCACCAGGCAGTTTTTAGACAGGATAGATGGCCATTTGTTTGGAGGGCTTAGATTGCGTCTACTTACCTGCTGGAAGAAGGGGTTGGACTGGATGGCCTTTAGGGATCCCTTCCAACGTTATCATCCCAAGATTCCAGGAAAGGAACCTCTCAGCATGACTTCAAGGGGCCTGACAGGGAGTGCCACCAGGACTTTGGGGCTTGAGGAGGGTCCCAGGGTGGTCAGTGGGTGCAGTGGGGGGAGACCTCCAGGAGAAGCCCCGAGGAGCCCCCCACGGGCGAAAGGGGGACTTCCTAGCCAGCATCTCTCTCTAGCCACTGACCTGAGAGTGTCGCTCACTAAAAAGGGGTTGCCTTCTGCACCGGAAACAGAACAGGTCTTGGGACCAAATGGGGGGCGCAGAGAGGACGGCAGCCACTTGCCCAGGTTGGGCCCCTCTTCCCGGGCTAGGTCGCCTTGCAGGATGGGGCCTGCT